ATAATATTGCGCATTTGTCGAACAGCCGTTACCAGACGTGGTTCACAGCCAGCACTTAAAGCCAAATAGTTTTCGGGAGATGCTTTTAGCAAAGTTAGAATTGGGTAAGCGAAGTATTAGAGTTAAACCCAATTCATCTACAACACTTGCCAGATATTCAATATCCACGGACAATTGTTTAGAAGCTGAACTTGTTAGGGATTTGATTTGCAAAATTTGTGATTGATATAAACACAACATTGAGCCACTACTAGAGATAGTAAAATATCAGCACTTGGTATGGGTTGGGAATATTTAATGTGACACATTTCCAAGGCCTGTTGAGGAGTGTTGAAGGTGACAGTAGTAAAGGTTCCAAATGTTGTGGTAATGTTAGTAAATATTGGCCTATTTGTGTTATACTTTCTTGTGGGGCAAAACTAAAGGCAGGCATATCCTGCACATGTCCCTGGGATAATTCTGTTGGTGGCTGTATTTTCGAGAGATGTGAATCCAAAGGTTGTAAAAGTATGTTTAGAGTTATATCATGAGTTTCAATAAAATGTGTTTTCAAAGCATCGTATATATTGGCAAATATACCCACGGAAGCAGAGCTAGCATCTTGATTCGTTTCCAAACGTTTTTTGCTGAAACTCGGCGATCGAGTTTAGAATACGTTGCTGTTCTGCCGACTCAAAAGTTTGATAAATATTTATATTGGACAATTGATTTTCCTTTAATTTAAGCTCCAAAGTTGTTAAACGTTCCTGCAATGTTTTCTCAAATTTTTGTAATTTCTGCTGGAAATCAGCCCAAACATTCTAGCAAAGCCAGTGTATATTGCAACATAGACCAATTGCTATCAGTGTTGGGGTTATTTGCAGAATTTCCCAAATTAAGAGAAAGTTGTCTTTGGGTTTTAGAGAATTGTTCCATTAAACGTTTAAATATACCACCCAGTAAATTGATCAGCTTGCAGAGGGCCAAATCCTGGTAATATTTGAACATCTGTTAAGGGATTCATGTAACCAAGTGAAAAGTTTACTGGTTATATCCTTCAAATGGCGTACAGCATCACTGGCATGAGGCTGAGTAGTCAAAACCCGATCCACTTGAGTAGAAAGTTGTGTCTCTTCAAGCCTGGGATATTGCTGTATGAATTTATGGAAATATTCATAGATGGAGAGACCCAATTGCTGTTTTAACTCTTTGCTTAAATGAATCGAAGACTGTTCCATATAAGCATTCAATTGCAAAACAAATTATGATTTGCTTGGGCAAATAGTTGCAGCAAATCCAAACGTTCATTGCAAGTTTTTAGCAGTTGTAATATGTGATTATCTCGCGTAGGTTGCAGGGCTGGCAAGAGTTCAGCTAGCAAAACAAATGGCTGCTGTTGAGCATCTTCATCCTCGAATACCTGTGAACACCATTTCACTGTCGTTGACAATTTTCCAGCAATTGATCATAGAAGAGAGTAAGAAAATGTTGTTGTTGACTGGCCGTTTCAGTTGCTTGCAATTCCAAGGTCTGTTTCCATTGCTGCTGGAGAGCAGTTTTCTGTACAGCACGATAGTATTGCAGTAGTTGGGGTTTTCTTTGTATTGCTGCAAAAATGCTGACATAACGTTGAGCCTGCTCTATGCCTCCTTCGGCAAAGCACTGTACAACATTTGGTGAGGCCAATGCTTCGAGACGATTCTTGAAGTCTTCAACTTGTGAGTGGCGATCGGAATGGCCGGGTAGTTGCTCTTGGGCTTGTAAACTTTTTTGTAAAGCTGATATTTTGTCGCAAACACTCTGAAAAGGGATGTTTGGAATAGAATTTCGACAAATTTTTGTATATGTATATGGAAAATGTTCGATATATTTTTTTCTTTTTAAGGAAAATTTTCGATAAATTTTACCTTTTTGTAGAAAATTATCGATAAATTTTGACTTTTGTAGAAAATGTTTGAAAAATTTTCTTTTATAGAATTTTTTCGATAAATTGTTGCTTTTAATAGAAAAAATTCTATAAGTTATTGCTTTTTATAAAAAAATTTCGTTAAAATGTCTTTTATAGAAAAATATCTTTAATTTTCTATTTTTAAAGAAAATTTTCCTAATTTTTGAAAATATTTACCAAATCCTTACCTTCAAATCATTCCTCTCAAAACTATCCTCCAACTCGGCTATTAAATTACCCCAACCATCGGATTCTTGCAGTGACTCCTTTGCTGTCTGCAACTTTGTTTGCATTGTATTCAAACGTTCCAACGTAGCCATGCATTCACCAGTTTCCTCTTGCACTGCGGCCACTTCTTGACGCATAATCAACATTCGCTGTTGTAATTCCTTGACATCATTGTGGAGATTTTTAGCATCTTTAACTACTCGGGCATACTGGCCACCAATTGTTGACTACTCTCTTCGATGGCATAGTTCACTTGTTGGACGTACAATTGCAGTTTGGAAACATAATTGTTAATAAATTCTACTGCTAACTCCGTATCACCACCGGTGTTGGTTTCCACAGCTTTGGAAGTTTTTACATCATCCCCTGCGAATTTTTTAAAATTATCATTAATCCAATTGACTGCATCAAATTTGTCTTCGGATAAAGCAGAAATATCCATTTTTATTTAAATTTATTACAATTAAAACATTTAAAAGAAAATTTTGTTGTGAAAACAAATTGATGATGTTGGAATTAGTTTTGTTTTCAATTTTTTGCTTTTGTTCTAAAAACACTATAAAAACGTCATCAACAGCTGTTAACAACACAGTGTTGTATTTACAAAAGAATGTACTAATAGTAATAAAATAAGTTGACATCACTATTTTATATACGAGAAACCCTAGACAACAACCTGTTAATATAATATGATTCTGTTAAGAACAGAATCACAGGTAAATTCTGTTAAGAACAGAATCACAGGTATATTCCACAGTTCCTAGCAGATTTCTAAAGAATTTCTATTATTAAAGAATATTTTTTTTATTAGTTCAAAAAATCAAACGTAAAATTATTGCGAAAAATTTCAAATATCTGTTAAAGTTTAAAATGTTTCAGGTTTTTTACAAGTTGACGAATATTGTACATCAATGGCAGGGATTTTTGAAGTTGTTGCATATTTTGGTTGCAGTTTCGCATAATTATTCATTTTGCGATTAAAATTTAAGCAAATTAGTTCCTAAAAGGGAAATTTTTAATATTTCCGAAATACTTTTTCAGATATAGACATACATACCTGCAGGGATTTTGATGGTTTATTAGTTTGATTTTTATATTTTCCAAATAAATCTCGTATAAAATCGGATGGATTCGCTAGCCGAAGCTAGAAAGATTACAAAATAAACAATAATTATGGAAAAATGTCGTTGAATTTTATTTTTTTTTTTAAACTTTCAAAAATTTTTTATTTTTATAGAAAATTATCGAAAAGATTTTTTTTTAGAAAATTATCAATAAGTATTCCTTTTTATGGACAATTTTCGATAAATTTTGTTTTTCTAGAAAATGTTTCATAAATATTCGATATTGATAGAAAATTTTCTATATATTTATAGAAGATTATCGATAAATTTTCTCTACTTTTAGAAATGATCGATAAATCATCTGTATTTATAGAAAATTTAGGAAAATTTTCTATACATATAGAAATTATCGATAAATTTACTATTTTTATAGAATATTTTCGATATAAATTTATTATTTTTATACAATTTTTCGATAAATTCACAAATTTTCTAGAAAATTTCGATAAATACACAAGTTTTTAAAAAATATTTTATTTTTCTAGAAAATTTTTGATAAATTTTAAATTTTTATATTATTTTTCGATAAATTTTCACTTCATATAGAAAATTTTCGATATATTTATTATTTTTATGGAAAATTTCTATAAATTTACTATTTCTATAGAAAATTATCGATTAAATTTACTATTTTTTATAGAAATTGTGGATATATTAACTGTTTTAATCAAAATTTGCAATAAATTTACTATTATTCGATTTTTTATAGAAAATTATCGACAAATTTGCTATTTTTATTGAAAATTTATACTGTTTTTATAAAAATTTATCGATTAATTTCCTATTTTTAAAATGTGAGATATATTTATGAAAAAAATTTACTATTTTTCGATTTTTATAGAAAATTTTCTATAAACTTATTATTTTTGTACAAAATTTTATAGAAAATTGTCTATAAATTTTCTATTTTTATAGAAAATTTTCGATAAATTTTCTATTTTTATAGGAAATTGTCTATAAATGTTCTATTTTTATTGAAAATTTTCGATAAGTTGTCTATTTTTATTGAAAATTTTCGATAAGTTGTCTATTTTTATAGAAAATTTTCGATAAGTTTTCTATTTTTATAGAAAATTTTCGATAAGTTTCTATTTTTATAGAAAATTTTCGATAAGTTTTCTATTTTTATAGAAAATTTTCGATAAATTTTCTATTTTTATAGAAAATTTTCGATAAATTTTCTATTTTATAGAAAGGTTTCGATAAATTTTCTATTTTTATAGAAAGGTTTCGATAAATTTTTATTTTTATAGAAAAGTTTCAATACATTTTTTATTTTTATAGAAAATTTTCAAAAAATTTTCTATTTTTCAATATAAAAAATTTTCCATAAATTTTTTTTTATTTATTTATAGAAAATGTTCGATAAGTGAACTATACTTTTATAAAAGTTTTCGAAAATTTTTTAATTTAATTTTTAATTTTCGATAAACTTTCTCTTTTCATAGGAAGTATTCGATAAATTTTCTATTTTTATAGAATGTTTTCGATAATTTTTTTAATTTTAATCGAAAATTTTCGATTAATTTTTTATTCAATATTCCAAGATGTTCAATATTTTGAGAAAAAAAAAAACTTACCTTTGGTATTGGATTTGCCGTAGGTTGTTCCGCCTGATTACGATATTCATCTTGCATCAACGAAACTTTGCATATATCACTTTCCCACATTCCCTTCTGTACCTGACCCGTTCGATTATGATAAAAAGTTCCTTCGCCCGATTTCAAACCTCTAGCAAATTGCCTTCATAGCGATTACCATTTGCTATAAGAAATTAAGCAATTCTTTTAAAGTTCACCTAATAAATTTTGTTTACCCAATTACCATAAAACATAATACCTAGACCATGATATGCATCAGCTTGCCATTCGCCCATAAAATATTACCATTTTTATACCATTTAATACCCAAACCATGACGTCGATTACTCTTCCACCAGCCATAGTAGACACCATCCTCGTAAAATTGTTTACCCTCACCCGATTTCATATCATCAAACCATTCCCCCATATATATGCGTTCCATTGTACCATCGTCCAAACGACGTCTCATCATACCATAACCATGACGTTTACCCCGAGACCATTGACCATCATATATCAAAGGTTTCTTCGACTCTTTGACACCATAACGATGATGTTGTGAATTTAACCAATAGCCATGATATGTTCCTCCGCCCGGATAATAGAATGTTTTGACGCCATCCAGTGCTTTCGGCTTTAATGTGATTTTTTAGTTCAAACGAGCGATAGCTGTGATTATTCATAACTAAACGTTAAAAATTTTTAGGGGGAAATTTTTTGTAGTAAGATAAAAAATGTTTCAAATAAAAACTATTTAAGTGACAACTTTATTTCAAGAGATTATTTCAGTATCGTTTACAATATAAGGGGGTAAAATATTACATCCATTAAATATTATGTTCAATGCTGCTGATTTTATAACTACGTTTGTGGACGTCCTCCTTTCCTTCACATGTTTGAATTTGAATTGATAAAATATGACAGCAACATATTGTCACCAGTCACGAAAGCGTTTACAGTGTCACTTTTACTTTTCTTGAAGAAAATTAATTGTATGTATGGGTGTTTTCCAAAGGGTGTTACAAAAAACAATCAGCGAAAGCCCAACAACTGAACTAGATCTAAATTAGAACTAATCCTGAACTAGAGCTGAACCAGAATGAACTTGAATTGAACTAGAACTGAACTGGAACAGAACTAAACCAGAATTAGAATTGAACTAGAACTAAACTAAGAACTGACTAGAACTGAACTAGAACTAACTAGAAACTGAACTAGAACTAAACTAGAACTGAACTAGAAACTGACTAGAACTGAACTAGAACTGAACTAGAACTGAACTAGAACTGAACTAGAACTGAACTAGAACTGAACTAGAACTGAACTAGAACTGAACTAGAACTGAACTAGAACTGAACTAGAACTGAACTAGAACTGAACTAGAACTGAACTAAAACTGAACTAGAACTGAACAGAACTGAACTAGAACTGAACTAGAAACTAAACTAGAACTGGACTAGATCTGAACTAGAACGAACTAGAACTGAACTAGAACTGAACTAGAACTGAACTAGAACTGACCTAGAACTGAACTAGAACTGAACTAGAACTGAACTGAACTAGAACTGAACCAGAACTGAACTAGAACTGAACTAGAACTGAACTAGCACTGAACTAGAACTGACCTAGAACTGAACTAGAACTGAACTAGAACTGACTAGAACTAGAACTGAACTAGAAACTGAACTAGAACTGAACTAGAACTGAACTAGAACTGAACTAGAACTGAACTAGAACTGAACTAGAACTGAACTAGAACTGAACTAGAACTGAACTAGAACTGAACTAGAACTGAACTAGAACTGAACTAGAACTGAACTAGAAACTGAACTAGAACTGAACTAGAACTGAACTAGAACTGAACTAGAACTGAACTAGAACTGAACTAGAACTGACTAGAACTGAACTAGAACTGAACTAGAACTGAACTAGAACTGAACTAGAACTGAACTAGAACTGAACTAGAACTGAACTAGAACTGAACTAGAAACTGAACTAGAACTGAACTAGAACTGAACTAGAAACTGAACTAGAACTGAACTAGAACTGAACTAGAACTGAACTAGAACTGAACTAGAACTGAACTAGAACTGAACTAGAACTGAACTAGAACTGAACTAGAACTGAACTAGAACTGAACTAAAACTGAACTAGAATTGAACTAGACGGACCTAGAACAGAACTAGAACTGAACTAGAACTGAACTAGAACTGAACTAGAACTAACTAGAACTGAACTAGAACTGAACTAGAACTGAACTAGAACTGAACTAGAAACTGAACTAGAACTGAACTAGAACTGAACTAGAACTGAACTAGAACTGAACTAGAACTGAACTAGAACTGAACTAGAACTGAACTAGAACTGAACTAGAACTGAACTAGAACTGAACTAGAACTGAACTAGAACTGAACTAGAACTAGAAACTGGACTAGAAATGAACTAGAAATGAACTAGAACTGAACTTGAACTGAACTAGAACTGAACTAGAACTGAACTAGAACTGAACTAGAACTGAACTAGAACTGAACTAGAACCTGAACTAGAACTGAACTAGAACTGAACTAGAACTGGAACTAGAAACTGAACTGAACTGAACTAGAACTGAACTAGAACTGAACTAGAAGTGAACTAAACTGAAACTAGAATGAATAAATGAACTGAACTAGAACTGAACTAGAACTGAACTAGAACTGAACTAGAAACTGAACTAGAACTGAACTAGAACTGAACTAGAACTGAACTAGAACTGAACTAGAACTGAACTAGAACTGAACTAGAACTGAACTAGAACTGAACTAGAACTGAACTAGAACTGAACTAGAACTGAACTAGAACTGAACTAGAACTGAACTAGAACTGAACTAGAACTGGACTAGAAATGAACTAGAAATGAACTAGAACTGAACTTGAACTGAACTAGAACTGAACTAGAACTGAACTGGAACTGAACTAGAACTGAAACTAGAACTGAACTAGAACTGAACTAGAACTGAACTAGAACTGAAACTAGAACTGAACTAGAACTGAACTAGAACTGAACTAGAACTGAACTAGAACTGAACTAGAACTGAACTAGAACTGAACTAGAACTGAACTAGAACTGAACTAGATCTGAACTAGAACTGAACTAGAACTAATCTACAACAAATCTACAACGGAACTAAAACTGAACTAGAACTGAACAAAAACTCAATTAGAATTGAACCATCTAGAACTGTATTAGAACTGAACTGGAAACTTTAAATATTGAATTTATTCAAATCGCTTAGTGAAAAGACAATTTTAAAATCAAAAAAATTTTAAAATTATTCTAAAAGTCCTCGTCTTGCCAACCAGGGCAAAATTTGTTCTGTATGTTCTTTAAAAGAATCATTTAAAAATAACGATCTACGATATTCTTCTGCTTCGGGTGAATCATGCATCAATAAATCCATATTACATTCCGCTTCGGACTTCGGTTCGTATAAACACATTGACAAACCGTTAAAAACTGTAGCGAAACCTTGAAAGATAAATTTTAAAATTTATTACTTTCTAGACAATTGAAAATTGAGTAGAACATAACTTTACCAATATAACCGTATTTCAATAGGTCGATATGCAATTCCTTAAGACTGGGAATTTTACCAGAATATTTTAATATTTTCAATTGTTTTGTTAAATGTTCATGATAGAAACTTATAAAATAATCGAAATATTTTAGTTTAATATCCAATTGAGTGGCAGACAATAGAAACATATAGAGATCCAAAGTGGGTGAACCATATTTGCATAATTGAAAATCGATAAAATAGGTCTCTTGTATTTGATCTTTTGAATGTTGAAACATAACATTATTCAGCCAAAAGTCACCATGATTTAGAACATTAAAATCTTGGGGATTTGTGGTACTGGCAGCTATGCTTAGATCTAAATAATTATCCAATAATTTAGGCTGGAAGATTCAGTTTATTAGACTAATTACTGATTATATATTTTCCACTACTTACTATCAAATCAATATATTCCTCATGCCCCTTATATTCCTTAATATAATCATAGTAATAATCAATTTTAACATTTTCATATAACGATCGTGTCTCTTCGGAAAACATATGCTGTTCGAACATAGGCTCATATGATCCATAGACTTCAACATAACGTGCTGATACAGCATGAAATTTAGCTAACTTTTTTAGAACTATTTTCGTATACTCCAAGTTTTAAACCCACCAAACGATTTTGTAGACCAAAACCCAAACAACTTAAGTCTTCTAATATAATAGCATTCTCATCTAAACCTTCAGTTTTGGGTAAAATAAAATATTTAGGAGCAAATGTTATATTAACCCCCTGCTCTCTATACAGCCTTTCAAAACGTGGTAGTATTTCACGGTATACAGCAATTTCCTTGGGGAATAAAGACCATAAGTGATCGATAAATTCAGATTCTCCCGAGGGTAAGGGTGTTTTTAATATGTAGTTAAGAGTTTTACTAGAATTATCAGCTATTTTATAAAACAATTATTTAATTGATTATTTTTTTAGAATCATTTCTAATTTTACCTAAAATAACCTCCAATTTAATTCTCATCAAATTTGAGGCATAGTTTTCACCCGATTTCGTAGATGTTTTCACCGAAAATGTTTGTAAACTTTGAAAATTTTTTAGATTTTGTTTTAAAAATTCTGTAAAATACTCTTTATTAATCCACGATGGCAAAGTTTGAGATTCTGTATTTAAACTGTGAAATAAATTCGAAAAAAAAGCAATTTATTTTAAGATATCTTAGCATTTAAACATTTCAACACTTACTCTTTAATTTTCTTTTCCAATTGTATTGAGTTTTCCATATTTTCCAAAAGTATTGCGTGTGTTTATAACTCTAGAATATGTGTAATTATTTTCAATTATTATGATCAAGATTTATTCAGAGCTTAATGAAACAGCTGACAGAATATATCCGTTAAATTGTAATCAAACTTTATTCGATGCTAAACAAAAGACAACTGTTTGTTTAGCTCTTATTCTCAGATAAATTTTAATTTAAAATTTTCTAATATAAATCTTTATATATGGAGATTTCAATGCATTATTGCAGGTATGGACAATTGATATTTCCCACTTAGAGAATACTTTTTTATTGTCTATCATAATGGGGAACTTTAATGTTTGTAAGGTCCAAAAATAAGAGAGCACTTACTGTTTGAAATAAGAATGAAAAAATATTATTAAATTTTCCAACCCCGACTTTAATATGCACATATGTATGTATGTATGTATGTATATGTATTTATGTATATTTACATTTGAGTATACATATTTGCTAAATTTTTAAATTAATAGTAATCAACTACACCGTTTTCATTTGAAAAATTTTGATTTTGAAATTTCAACTGAAGTTGAGATTTTGAATTCAGAATAAATTTGATTGATAATCACATTTTTTCATTTGAAATTCGGAAGAGAACAATTATTTTCCAAATATCGGATGAATAATCCTATTTTCAATTGTGCTTTTCTTAATTCGAGATGAAAATTTTCAATTTCAGTTATAGTTCAGTTCTAATTCAGCTGTAGTACAGTTCTAGTTCAGTTTTAGTTCAGTTCTAGTTCAGTTCTAGTTAAGTTCTAGTTCAGTTCTAGTTCAGTTCTAGTTCAATTCTAGTTCAGTTCTAGTTCAGTTATAGTTCAGTTCTAGTTCAGTTCTAGTCAGTTCTAGTTCAGTTCTAGTTTAGTTCTAGTTCAGTTCTAGTTCAGTTCTAGTTCAGTTCTAGTTCAGTTCTAGTTCAGTTTCTAGTTCAGTTCTAGTTCAGTGCTAGTTCAGTTCTAGTTCAGTTCTAGTCAGTTCTAGTTCAGTTCTAGTTTAGTTCTAGTTCAGTTCTAGTTCAGTTCTAGTTGTAGTTTCTGTTCAGTTCTAGTTCAGTTCTAGTTCAGTTCTAGTTCAGTTCTAGTTCAGTTCTAGTTCAGTTCTAGTTCAGTTCTAGTCAGTTCTAGTTCAGTTCTAGTTCAGTTCTAGTTCAGTTCTAGTTCAGTTCTAGTTCAGTTCTAGTTCAGTTTAGTTCAGTTCTAGTTCAGTTCTAGTTCAGTTCTAGTTCAGTCTAGTTCAGTTCTCGTTCAGTTCTAGTCAGTTCTATTTCAGTTCTAGTTCAGTTCTAGTTCAGTTCTAGTTCAGTTCTAGTTCCGTTCTAGTCAGTCTAGTTCAGTTCTAGTTCAGTTCAGTTCTAGTTCAGTTCTAGTTCAGTTCTAGTTCAGTTCTAGTTCAGTTCTAGTTCAGTTCTAGTTCAGTTCTAGTTCAGTTCTAGTTCAGTCTAGTTTCAGTTCTAGTCAGTTCTAGTTCAGTCTAGTTCAGTTCTAGTTCAGTTCTAGTTCAGTTTCTAGTTCAGTTCTAGTTCAGTTTCTAGTCAGTTCTAGTTCAGTTCAGTTCAAGTTTAGTCAGTTCTAGTTCAGTTCTAGTTAGTTCTAGTTCAGTTCTAGTTCAGTTCTAGTTCCGTTCTAGTTAAGTTCTAGTTCAGTTCTAGTTCAGTTCTAGTTCAGTTCTAGTTCAGTTCTAGTTTCAGTCTAGTTCAGTTCTTCAGTTCTAGTTCAGTTCTAGTTCAGTTTCATTAGTTCAGTCATCTTCTAGTTCAGTTCTAGTTAGTTCTAGTTCAGTTCTAGTTCAGTTCTAGTTCAGTTCTAGTTCAGTTCTAGTTAGTTCTAGTTCATTTCTAGTTCAGTTCTAGTTTCTAGTTTAGTTCTAGTTCAGTTCTAGTTCAGTTCTAGTTCAGTTCTAGTTCAGTTCTAGTTCAGTTCTAGTTCAGTTCTAGTTCAGTTCTGGTTCAGTTCTAGTTCAGTTCTAGTTCAGTTCTAGTTCAGTTCTAGTTCAGTTCAAGTTCAGTTCTAGTTCAGTTATAGTTCAGTTATAGTTCAGTTATAGTTCAGTTCTAGTTCAGTTTCTAGTTCAGTTCTAGTTCAAGTTCTAGTTCAGTTCTAGTTCAGTTTCTAGTTCAGTTTTAGTTCAGTTCTAGTTCAGTTCTAGTTCAGTTCGAGTTCAGTTCTAGTTCAGTTCTAGTTCAGTTCTAGTTCAGTTCTAGTTCAGTTTAGTTCAGTTCTAGTTCAGTTCTAGTTCAGTTCTAGTTCTGTTCTAGTTCAGTTCTAGTTCAGTTCTAGTTCAGTTCTAGTTCAGTTCTAGTTTAGTTCTAGTTCAGTTCTAGTTCAGTTCTGGTTTAGTTCAGTTCTAGTTCAGTTCTAGTTCAGTTCTAGTTCAGTTCTAGTCAGTTCTAGTTCAGTTCTAGTTCAGTTCTAGTTCAGTTCTAGTTCAGTTCTAGTTCAGTTCTAGTTCAGTTTCTAGTTCAGTTTCTAGTTCAGATCTAGTTCAGATCTAGTTCAGTTCTAGCTTAGTTCTAGTTCAGATCTGGTTCTAATTCTGTACTAGTATTGTTCTAATTATGTTGTAGTTCATTTCAAATATAATCGGATTATCTTTTAATAGTACTTATAATTATGAATTAAAACCCAATTACTCAGAGATCTGGTCACTTTAAACGTTATCAATTCTTTTCAATTGGTACTTTTTACACACATAATATTCATACATATTTATTTTCAATTAAAATACATATTTCAAGTAAATAAACAAATTATTTACAATAATCTACACTAAATTAAAAATTCATTTCAACGATCACACAGTATTCTAAACATGAGGATGCAAATAAAAATTTGTTTAATATTAATTATATTCTATAATTTCGTAAATGGAATACAAACTTTGGATTTAAATAAAGCAAGTATTTGAAGAATAATTTCAAATAAAATTTAATTGAACAATTTTCTTTAAATAGAACTCCGATGAAATAGAAATTTTAAAACTACTATTCGGCAAATTGAATAAAATCTTAGAAGAAATGACGAAGTAAAAACTGATTTGAAGAATATTAAAACCAAGTGAGTAATTGTTTTTATATTGAATTAAAAATAGTTAATCAATTATTCCCGCAGAATTCAACAACTGGAAGATAAATTACAGCAACCTTCTGCTACTTCCACCACCTCCATATCTAATGACAAACAAAATCTTATAGCTTGCAATATCAAGAGCCTAACAGATAATTCCTTCTCAAAATCCCCTGATAATTACTGTTTCGGTAACAATTGGAATGTCATACAAAGACGTACAGATGGTTCGGAGAATTTTCAACGTGATTGGAATGATTATAAACAAGGTTTTGGCAATAAATCAAATGAATTCTTTGCGGGTCTAGAAAAAATACATCGTCTTACTTCGGAAAAACCTCATGAATTGTTGGTGGTTATGCAGGATTTCGATAATGACAAACGTTATGCAAGATATGATCATTTCGAAATTGGTGGTGAAGATCAGCAATATGTTTTAAAATCGTTGGGTGTATACAGTGGCAATGCTGGTGATTCTTTAACTTATCACAAAGGCTCGAAATTCTCGACCAAGGAAAGGGATAATGATCAGCATGCGGATTTTAATTGTGCAGAAAAATTTCAAAGTGCTTGGTGGTTTAAAGCCTGTCATGAAAGGTGAATTTATGAAATGTGTTTATTATGATTCTTTTAATTTATTTTAATTTCTTAGCAATTTAAATGGCTGCTATAGCAATGCTAATTTAAAGGATTCTAAAAGTGCCATCGCAATGTGGTATTCATTGGAAAACGTTTCGTGGCCAGTGGTATTCTTTAAAATTTGTTGAGATGATGATAAGACCTAAAGTTTAATAATTGTTTTAAATGTTAATCATAGTAGTATTAAAAGTATAAAATATGGAAGTTGTTTTTACTTTTGTCGAATTTTATCTTACATTGACCAATAGTCCAACTATACTATTGAATAGACTATACTATAAACTATACTAAAGACTAGACTATAGAATAGACTAGACTGTAGATTAGGCTATAGGACTATATACTAGACTATATACTAGACTATATACTACACTATATACTACACTACACCATAGACTAGAATATAAACTAGACTTTAGAGTAGACTATAGCGTATTCCATAGAATAGACATTCCCGTCTAGCAACAAATCTAGCAACAAGAATAGACTAGACTATAGACTACACTGTAGACTACAGGCTAGATTATAGACTATAGTTAGTTAGTCAGTTAGTTAGTTAGGTAGTTAGTTAGTTAGTAGTTAGTTAGTTAGTTAGTTAGTTAGTTAGTAGTTAGTTAGTTAGTTAGTTAGTTAGTTAGTTAGTAGTTTTAGTTAGTTAGTTAGTTAGTTAGTTAGGTTAGTTAGTTAGTTAGTAGTTAGTTAGTTAGTTAGTTAGTTAGTTAGTTAGTTAGTTAGTTAGTTAGGTAGGTTAGTTAGTTAGTTAGTTAGTTAGTTAGTTAGTTAGTAGTTAGTTAGGTAGTTAGTTAGTTAGTTAGTTAGTTAGTTAGTTCGTTAGTTAGTTAGTTAGTTAGTTAGTTAGTTTAGGTAGTTAGTTAGTTAGTTAGTAGTTAGGTAGTTAGTTAGTTAGTTAGTTAGTTAGTAGTTAGTTAGTAGTTAGGTAGCTAGTTAGTAGGTAGTTAGTTAGTTAGTTAGTTAGTTAGTTAGTTAGTTAGTAGTAGTTAGTTAGTTAGTTAGTTAGTTAGTAGTAGTTAGGTAGTTAGTTAGTTAGTTAGTTAGTTAGTTAGTAGTTAGTTAGTTAGTAGTTAGTTCGTTAGTTCGTTAGTTTAGTTAGTTAGTTAGTTAGTTAGTTAGTTAGTTAGTTAGTTAGTTAGTTAGTTAGTTAGTAGTTAGTTGTTAGTTAGTTAGTTAGTTAGGTAGTTAGTTAGTTAGTTAGTTAGTTAGTTAGTAGTAGTAGTTAGTTAGTTAGTTAGTTAGTTAGTTAGTTAGTTAGTTAGTTAGTTAGTTAGTTAGTTAGTTAGTTAGTTAGTTAGTTAGTTAGTTAGTTAGTTAGTTAGTTAGTTAGTTAGTTAGTAGTTAGTTAGTAGTTAGTTAGTTAGGTTAGTAGTTAGTTAGTTAGTTAGTAGTTAGTTAGTTAGTTGTTAGTTAGTTAGTTGTTTGTTAGTTAGTTAGTTAGTTAGTTATAGTTAGTTAGTTATTTAGTTAGTTAGTAAGTTCGTTTGTTAGTTAGTTAGTTAGTTAGTTAGTTAGTTAGTTAGTTAGTTAGTTAGTTAGTTAGTTAGTTAGTTAGTAGTTAGTTAGTTAGTTAGTTAGTTAGTTAGTTAGTTAGTTAGTTAGTAGTTAGTTAGTTAGTTAGTTAGTTAGTTAGTTAGTTAGTTAGTTAGTTAGTTAGTTAGTTAGTTAGTAGTTAGTTAGTTAGTTAGTTGAGTTAGTTAGTTAGTTAGTTAAATAGTTAGTAGTTAGTTAGTTAGTTGGTTAGTTAGTTAGTAGTTAGTTAGTTAGTTAGTTAGTTAGTTAGTAGTTAGTTAGTTAGTAGTAGTTAGTTAGTAGTTAGTTAGTTAGTTAGTTAGTTAGTTAGTTAGTTAGTTAGTTAGTTAGTTAGTTAGTTAGTTAGTTAGTTAGTTAGTTAGTTAGTTAGTTAGTTAGTAGTAGTTAGTTAGTTAGTAGTTAGTTAGTTAGTTAGTTAGTACTTAGTTAGTTCGTTAGTTAGTTGTAGTAGTTAGTTAGTTAGTTAGTTAGTTAGTTAGTTAGTTAGTTAGTTAGTTAGTTAGTTAGTAGTTAGTAGTTAGTTAGTTAGTTAGTTAGTTAGTTACTTAGTTAGTTAGTTAGTTACTTAGTTAGTTAGTTAGTAGTTAGTTAGTTAGGTAGTTAGTAGTTTAGTTAGTTAGTTAGTTAGTAGTTAGTGTTAGTTAGTTAGTTAGTTAGTTAGTTAGTAGTTAGTTAGTTAGTTAGTTAGTTAGTTAGTAGTTAGGTAGTTAGTAGTTAGTTAGTAGTTAGTTAGTTAGTTAGTTAGTTAGTTAGTTAGTTAGTTAGTTAGTAGTTAGTTAGTTAGTTAGTTAGTAGTTAGTTAGTTAGTAGTTAGTTAGTTAGTTAGTTAGTTAGTAGTTAGTTAGTTAGTTAGTTAGTTAGTTAGTTAGTTAAATAGTAGTTAGTAGTAGTTAGTTAGTTAGTTAGTAGTTAGTTAGTAGTTAGTTAGTAGTTAGTTAGTTAGTAGTTAGTTAGTTAGTTGGTTAGTTAGTTAGTTAGTTAGTTAGTTAGTTAGTTAGTAGTTAGTTAGTTAGTTAGTTAGTTAGTTAGTTAGTTAGTTAGTTAGTTAGTTAGTTAGTTAGTAGTTAGTTAGTTAGTTAGTTAGTTAGTTAGTTAGTTAGTTAGTAGTTAGTTAGTAGTTAGTTAGTTAGTTAGTTAGTAGTAGTTAGTTAGTTAGTTAGTTAGTTAGTTAGTTAGTTAGTTGTTAGTTAGTTAGTTAGTTAGTTAGTTAGTTAGTTAGTTAGTAGTTAGTTAGTTAGTTAGTTAGTTAGTTAGTTAGTTAGTAGTTAGTTAGTAGTTAGTTAGTTAGTTAGTTAGTTAGTTAGTTAGTTAGTTAGTTAGTTAGTTAGGAGTTAGTTAGTAGTTAGTTAGTTAGTTAGTTAGTTCGTTAGTTAGTTAGTTAGTTAGTTAGTAGTTAGTTACTTAGTTAGTTAGTTAGTTAGTTACTTAGTTAGTAGTAGTTACTAGTTAGTTAGTTAGTTAGTAGTTAGTTAGTTAGTTAGTTAGTTAGTTAGTTAGTTAGTTAGTTAGTTAGTTAGTTAGTAGTTAGTTAGTTAGTAGTTAGTTAGTTAGTTAGTTAATAGTAGTAGTTAGTTAGTTAGTTAGTTAGTTAGTTAGTTAGTTAGTTAGTAGTTAGTTAGTTAGTAGTTAGTTAGTTAGTAGTTAGTAGTTAGTTAGTAGTAGTTAGTTAGTAGTAGTTAGTTAGTTAGTTAGTTAGTTAGTTAGTAGTTAGTTAGTTAGTTAGTTAGTTAGTTAGTTAGTTAGTAGTTAGTTAGTTAGTTAGTTAGTTAGTTAGTAGTTAGTTAGTAGTTAGTTAGTTAGTTAGTTAGTTAGTTGTTAGTTAGTAGTTAGTTAGTAGTTAGTTAGTTAGTTAGTTAGTTAGTTAGTTAGTTAGTAGTAGTTAGTGTTAGTTAGTTAGTTAGTTAGTTAGTTAGTTAGTAGTAGTTAGTTAGTAGTTAGTTAGTTAGTAGTTAGTTAGTTAGTTAGTTAGTAGTTAGTTAGTTAGTTAGTTAGTAGTTAGTTAGTTAGTTAGTTAGTTAGTTAGTTAGTTAGTTAGTTAGTTTAGTTAGTTAGTTAGTTAGTTAGTTAGTTTGAAAGGAGGATGTATACATCAAATCCTAAGAAATACACCTAGACTTCTATCGGGCCTGTTGTTCACTCCTTAATCCGTGCGTTAAGTGGGAATCGAATCCAC